CCCCAGGTGGGGGCTGGAGATCAGTTTACCTGGAGAAAAGGGTCACTTTGGAAGGTGATCTCTATGGAATTATGCCCCATTGGAGTCCCTCCCATCCCCAAACCCTTCTCTCGTCAGGCTCCACCCCCAAAATCTCCAGGTATTTCCCAGCCCAGAGCTGGCAGCCCTACCAGGACTGTCAACATTCTAGACTGTAGATGTAATATAATAGAGAGCCAGTTTGGTGTAGTGGTTAAGTGTGCAGACTCAAAATCTGGGAGAACCGGGTTTGATTCCCCACTCCTCCACTTGCACCTGCTGATGTGACCTTGGGTCAGTCACAAGCTCTGGCACAGCTGTTCCTGAAAGAGCAGTTTGTGTCAGAGTTCTCTCAGCCCCACCCACCTCACAGGGTGTCTTTGTGGGGAGGGGAAGGGAAAGGAGTTTGTAAGCCGCTCTGAGACTCCAAGTGAAGGGCGGGGTATAACTCCAACCTCTTCTCTTCTTCTTCTTAATATAACAGAACTAGAAACATGGATATTGTGTTGTTTCTTATTTAAAAGCCTTTTCCATCAAAATATTATCCGAATGCCAAAGTACTATGTTGTAGATATTTCCAGAATTCATGGAGTTTGATATTTTCTATGGGTTCAGCAAAATAGTCACTGGCATGTACTCCACAAGTAACGGATGCAACAAATGTCAGGCAAAAAAAAATCATAGTAAGTTTGAATAAAAAGGCACAGGCCCATAGCTACAGTGGGGCCTCCCAGGGTCCAGCCCCCTGACGTCCTAGCAAGGCCCCACAACTTTATATCCACTCCAGGCCCCCTGACTCTCTGGGCCACCCACAGGACTCCCTGCTGGAGCTGGTGGAAGCACAGGGCTCCTAGGTGAGGGCTGCAGTGCACTTGGAGGAGAATCAGGTCGAGGGCTGGTGAGGTGGGGCCAACGGGAACTTCTGCTCAAAACAAAACTGGGGCAGCATGGGCTGCGGGCCACAGAGGCAGCAAGAGCTGGGCTGCAGGGGGCTGGCACTGAGAAGTCAAGGGCAGAGTGGAGCATCGGCACTGCACACATCCTTTTGTGGCCACCACCAGGGAATGCACCACCCACCTGCACCTGTCCTGGCTGGGAGGCAAGAGGAGAGAGGCACAGGAGGAAAGAGGCTGCTGTGCCTGCGGCTTTCTCTCCTTCTGAATCTCCAGGTGGTGGGTGGGGAAGTGTTATGTCCGCTGACTGCCACTAGGTGACAGTGGTCTGCAACCAGAGCTTGGCTCCTAGGAACAATGGGGACTAGGATCCTGAGCCTCCCAGTTAGCACCTATAGGAACTGTGGCGGGAAGTTCAAACCCTCCCATGAGACTTGTGGGTTTGTATCAGGGACTGTATATAGTTGGCCGTGCCGGCCGTTTGTGGGTTGTTCTGTTGTGTACCAGTAAACCATGAGCTGGTAATCATGCTGTATCCAGTTTCTTCATGCGTCGAACCCACTACACAACAGGGAGAGACAGAGTTTCTCTGCAGGGCTGGGGATCTTCTGCACAGAGTGGGGCACAGGGGGCTGGAGAGGCGGAGAAGGCACTGCTCCCGTTTGTGGGTTGTTCTGTTGTGTACCTCCTCCATGTGCTCTGGAGAGAGATCCCTGGCATGTCTTGGTTTCCCCAGCTCTTGCAGAGGCCTGGGAGGCCATCAGTCCCCACCAGCAGATTATGAACCCGCCCAAATCCTGGGGAGGGGACTCCCCCTGGCTCAAATCCCAGGGGCTGCTTTGTAGGGTGCTGGTGCTCTTAGTCTGCCTTGGACATCCTTGTGCACACTCCCCCGCTTCACGGGGCTGTTGCTCCAACTGCTCCTCACAGAAGGAAGCACAGAGGATGCTGGCCTTGAGTCCCCTTACTCCCCCGGCACCACCCTCTCCCCTCCCCTCTGCAGGGTCCAGGGCCAAAGGAAAGCCTAGCAGGGTGGTGCTAGGGATGGCAAAGCAGGAGGGTGTCATGGTGGTTAATGGGAAGACCAGCTGGGGCAAGGGACAGCCAGCCAGCGTGCATGAGTTTTTAAATTTTATTTTTTATTTCAGTGCTCCCCGACTTTTTAACAAGACCCCCCGATTTAAGAAATCCTGGCTACGGGCCTGAAAAGCATATCATAGCTGTAATAATTTACATGGTTATTTACAGGGGTCATTTCATAGAAAAAGAGCTAGGGGAACTCATTAGCATATGCCACACCCCCTGACATCATAAGGCCCGGCAGTGGACCTGCAAGGCCGGCGGGAGTACGAGGAAGCCCCGCCAAGGCCCTCCCTGGTCCCAGGCAGGCAGGGGTGGGGAGAGGCAGGGAGGAAGCAACTTACCCTCCCTCTTCTCCTGCCTCCTCCTGGCTGAATGAGGGCCAGAAGCGGGGCGGCCGGAAGCAGCGGGCGGGGCTTTGTTGTGTGCCCCGCCCCCCCGCACCTCACCAGGGGGAACTGCGATCCCCCGCATTCCCCCCCGAATTGACCTCTGGTTATTTACACTGATGATGCCTGCTTCTTTTTAAAAGGTATATAGCATGAAAAATGGGGGGGGGATGCCTCAAGGGAAACCTTGCTTCCTTTTTAAGATGGAAAGCAAAAGATGGATTTCTTTTGTTGTTATGTTATCATTCTGAAGGGGAATAAAACAGGGCAAAATCCAGGTGGAAAAGATGTTCAGATAGGAATAGGTAAAAGGAATTGCCAGTATGATATATTCTTTGTGTTTAGACAAAACTTTGGGGGAAGTGGGAACTATGTAGGGGCATATGTCTAAGTAGGCCGGTCTGTTTTTCTAAAGGAGCAAGTTCCATGCTGAAAGACCACTTGAAAGCATTTATCATGCTAATTTAGTTAGTTAGTTAGTTAGTTAGATTTATTTACCACCCTCCCCAATGATGCTCTGTGGGCAGCTCTAATGTTTCAATGTACCTTACTGCATACATTGCTTCAGTCACATGCAATATGTGCTGTATGCCTCTCTTGTACATCTCTAGTAGCAACATTAAGATCATGTGACTGAGCTGTTACATGGAGCACTGCTATGTAGATTATTTAATCCCATCCTGAGAAAATGATTCAGATTTTTCAGGGTATGGCTAGATGTTTATCTCACCACCTGAGTGTGTAGTCACCAGTTTGGAATTATTGAGAAAAGACACACCACATCCTCAATGTGGATTTTTTTTTTTCCTGGGTGAGGATTATTCCTATCTTCTGAGGAAAAACATCTCCATCATCTGAGGAGCCAGCAGATCAGATATGGATCCTGAATGCCCTTACATAACCATGGTGATATTAAAAGATTATAAAAATATACATAAATTAACTAGGAACAGCCCCTTTCAAAGCACAAGGAAATGATTCAACAGTAAGTAATTTCAAGAATGTTGTCATCTTTTCCCCTTTCAGTGTAAGGCCTCCAGTCCAATTTTCTGTTTAAGAGAAACATTTTAGCTTGATTTAGCCTGGAATCAGATAATAACAGGTCTTTTAGAGAGAGTATAAAATCACTGAAAAGACATACAAGTTCATTTCTTTTGTCCCCCTTTTGTATCTATGGTAAAACAGGCATTTCTAGCTTGTGAAGTAGTACAGAAACTTGCCAAACCTGTGCTCATACATACTACTTGAAAAATCCCAACTTCAAGTATAGGCTAATGAGGTCTGAACTTGCTGAGAATAAGAGGGAAAAAGATGTTGGGGTTGTAATGGATAGCTCAATGGAAGTGCCAACCCAGTGTGCCGTGGTGGTGAAAAAGGCAAACTCTGTGTTAGGGATTATTAGGAAAGGGATTGATAATAAAACAATGGATATTGTAATGCCCCTGTATAGATCTATGGTGTGGCCTCATTTGGAATACTGTGTACAGTTCTGGTCACCGTACCTCCAAAAGGACATTGCACATCTGGAAAAAGTACAGAAGAAGGCAACCAAGATGATGAGGGGTTTGGAGCACCTTCCCTTTGAGGAAAGGCTGAAGAGTCTGGGAAATTTCAGTTTAGAAAAGAGATGACTAAGGGGGGACATGATAGAGGTTCATAAAATTATTCACGGGGTGGAGAGAGTTGACAAAGAGAATTTTTTCTCCCTCTTCCAAAATACTAGTGCCCAAGAGCATCTAATGAAACTGATGGGCAGTAGGTTCAAAATAGACAAAAGGAAATACTACTTTACACAGACAATGATTAAAATATGGAATTTGCTGCCAGAGGATGTAGTGATGGTCACAGGAATAAACAGCTTTAAAAGGATTAGCTAGATTAATGGAGGATAAGTCTATCAATGGCTACTAGCCATGGTGACGGAGGGGAACCTACACATTCAGAGGCATCAAACTTCTGAATCCCAGAGCCAGGAGGCAACATCAGGGGAAGGCCCTAGACATTATGTCCTGTTGTTTGCCCTCCAGATGAACTGATTGGCCACTGTGTGAGACAGGATGCTGGACTAGATGGGCCATTGGTGTGATCCAGCAAGGTCTTGCAAACCATCTGCAACCTCTCCATCGTATGTCTCCTAGGGTTGCTAACCTTCCAGTGAAACCTGGAGCTCTCCTGGAATTACAATGGATCGCCAGTCTGCAAAGATCAGTTGCCCTGGAGAAAATGGCTGCTTTGGAATTGGGTACACACGGCACTTAGCACCTCCCCAAACCCTGGGTCCCTCTCCAAGTTCACCCCAAAACTCCAGGAATTTTCCAACCCAGAATTGCCAACTTTACTTTTGCCTAAGATAGTACCTCAGGAAACTAATAATTCTGTTTTGTTGACATGCATTTTTTTAGGAGTAAATCTATTTTAAAACTAATATTGCTTGTTGAAGTTAGAAAAACTTGAGTCGATGGTCTAAGACAGAATTAGGGCTGCTCATACCTATTGTGCACTTAATTCTGTGCTTGTGCAGCTAATTCTATGTGTATGACATTCTATGACATTCCTGTTTGAACATTAAAACATTTGTCAGTATATACACTTAAATTGTTTTTTTCTCTTTCCTTAAAAGTAGGCATACAGCACCAGGAAAAAAGTAAGGAGACACCATGGTTTTGAAGTACAAGTGGATCTTATTCGTAGCCAGTATTAAGAGTCTCCATCTTTGTGAAGGGAGTGCTGCAATTTCTTTTCACCATTTCTGTACAGTGGCAACAGACATTCTGCTAAGCAGATGGAGAGGCGACCAGCCATGATTTTGTGATTGAGTCTTTACCTCTGAAAGGCCATTTCTCATTCCCAGGACATTTTTAAAAAGCCTTTCTGTTGTATATTGTTTATCATCTGAGCCTGCAGCAGCATTTCTGCAGCCTAACTTGTTGCTCCTGTAACAATGTTTTGCTTGGTTGATACACACACACACACATACACACACACACACACACAGCCTTGATGGTCAGGAGAGACCTGGCCTTGACTAGTTGTCACCCGGTCAGGAATACAGTTTTTTGTAGCTCTTTGTGCATCTATATTTTGTAGAAATACAGAAAGTTTGCATAAGCATTGATGGGCTATTTTAGAACAATGTATTTTTTTAAAAAAAATGTAAAAAGGTAAAGTTCTGTTTAAAGAACTTTCTCTTGGAGAAGCACTGGCAAAATGTGTAAAGTGCATATTTTTAGATGTCTGACATGCTTGTATGGGAGTTTGTTGTTATTGCTATCTGAAGCATCTGTCATGAAATGATTCAAACATATATGTAAAAGTCCCACAAGATCTTGAATGTATTTTGCTTTTTGCTTAAGTGATTATTCAAATGTATAGTATTTTCTGTGGCAGTACTCTATTACTAAAGAAAAAGAATATCTGCTTTGCTGCTTCTGAAGATAACTTTGAGCAGTGCAACCCATGAGAAAATATTGTTGAAACAAGGCACAGATGCTATTTAAACTGTAAGCCTACATAGATGGGTAGCTGTTCCTTAAACTGATTTCAGCTACACTGCTGATATATACCACTGCTGCTGAAGACAGAGCCAGTGCCTGGCTCTTGAGGCTAAACTGCATTTTGCTGGCCTACATTTCTGCAAACCTCTCTCTGTGTCTATACACATCCCCAAGGGTGTTTCCAAAGGAACGTTTCACTTTTTAATCTTGAAACGGAAGACTTACACTCCAAATTGCAAAATTGTATTTGAAACTCCCCAACCATTTAAAACACCCTGGTAGTACTATTCTTAGGGCCCAAACTATAGCTGGAAATCTTTTCTGCCAGGCTATGAAGCTCATATGGGGCTGAAAGGCCCACAGGGTACTGTGAAGGAGGACTAGTATAGTTGTTAAGTTTCAACCCAGCACAATAAACTGTTACCTTAGTAGCATATACATACAATAAAGAAAGTTTCATTGGAAGCCAATATACGACTAACTGAAGAAAAAATGTGCTCATCACTAAATTCTTAATTACCTAGCTCTTACAAAGTAATAGCTATTCCTCAAGTGGAAATAAATCCAGCAGGCATGCCTGAGGTCATGTTCTGCAGGTATCATTAGACAAACTTTCAGTGATGGCTTTTTCACTCTGGATCAGGCTCCTTTCTATGAGAACTGTATGTTCAAAACTCAGTATTTTGTAATATTGGAATAAAGTTATTCATTTTCCACAGTGAATTTTCACCTTACTCCACTGAGTGCCTTCTCTGTTCGTTCCTATTAGGATTGTTAGGAGTCAGTAAAGAATAGGTTACGCTACTGGTACCTAACACAGCATTTAATGTATGCGATGGATTAGATCTGAGTTTAGATGCATGTACAAAAAACTGCATATGTTCTACTTGTACCTTGGCTTCCAGTGTCTTTATGAAGTATTCATGGAAGCTCTCCCATGCTGCTGCTGGTCCATGGAAGAGAAAGAAATGTAGCTTGCAGCTCAGGAGCAACAAGAATAGGGTTTTTTATGCCAATGCTAGCAGCCTAGAACCTAACCCTATGCTTCACAGTCATGGTGCTCATTATCAAGTCTTGTCTTCAGGAATGACTCTCACTCCTACATTCTTACAAAATTTGCACTGCTGCAAATGTCCCTTCCAAACATTCTGCTGATATATCCTGGGAAAAGAGGTTTAGAAAGATTAACTTCAAAAATACGTTTCCCTATATTCTAAAAACATTTACAGTGCAATCCTAAGCAGAGCTGACTTCACCGGACACAGAAGGATATAATTCTGCTTAAAATGACAGTAATCAAGATCAACTAGCATTTTAAATTTTACATGATATCCCACTTCCAAAATACACAAATGCTTAGGGATTTAAGAAATAATTCACAGAGGGGCAACTGTCAGATCAACTTCCAACAGAAAAAAAACGTAGGCCTAGTAAAATTGCATTGTAACCTTCATTATTAGAAATTCCATTACATACCAGCTATTTATATTTTTCTAGCCAGAGATGTGAGTGGTATGCATGCATTGGATCCAGCCAGACTTTTACTCTGTCACAGCCAATCCCTTCATTATTATAGCCCCTGTATGACAGCTTTTGTTCATGCAGGTCCCATGATCCCCAAGAAGATCTTTTAGGTGGTAAGATGGATCCTTCTCCATCAGTGGGAAAGCTGGTTGGATAGTATGTCTTGTTATTTGGTGATTATGTTTTCGTATGGACCCAAGCATGAATAGCCATTTGCATTTGGCAAAAGAAACATAGGGAGCAAACTGATTTCTTGTTTTTGTCCACACAAAGTGTAGAAAATGAATATGGTTAAGTAGAGATAAGAGCTCTTCCATTTGTACACAGGTTTTAAAAATATTTTTATTAAATTTTCATATAACAACCATTTTAACTAATAACATAGCAACAAAATCAATAAAAATCATGAAGGCTTGTTTCAACAGTGAGGGTAGGGTACCCTGTACATGTTTGGTAATATTTTAGTTATAATATCACTTAATGTATATGCTTCTTTAAAGAAAGGGCATGACCACAGGTAGAAATGGTGCTAAACGAGTATGGTTAAATAAGAAAAGGCTAGGATACTAACTGTGCATATAAGACTTGTATTCTACATACAGTCACACAGTTATTCTTCATCTGTTATGTGTATGAAGCCCTTTTACCTTCTGCGTAGCCAAGGATTAAGTGCTTATAGTGCTCCTAAGATATGTACTACCTGTTTTACTGACTAGGAAACAGAGAGTTCAATATAGGTGGAGGGAAAAAGGCCCGTTGTGGAAATAAATACAAGAACCTCTAGAAAGAGTCTCTGGGCGGGTGCCCTGGCCTTGGACACCTACCTAAAGAACAGTTGTAATTTTGAGTGATCTCCAGCCCTCACCTGGAGATTGGCAATGATGGTTCCCCAGAAGGGAATGGTTGGTTTGGAGGGTGGAGTCTATGGCTTTGTACCTGTCCGAGGTCCCACGCCTCCTGAAACCTCACCCTCTCCAGGCTCCATCCCTCACATCTCCAGGAATTTCCCACCTGGAGTTGGCAACCCTATCTCCTTCCCAGCCAATCATCAACCTACCTTTATTTCCCCCTCACTCTTCAGCTTTCCACCCCACACACACCTGCAGCCTCTCCCGTGCTCTGAAGCCCTGACTGCTACGTCACATTGGCTGTCATATGGGGGCCACCTCAGCAGCATATAAGGATACAGAGCCCACCATTTTCTCCAGGGGAACTGATCTCTGCCATCTGGAAAGCAGTTGTAATTCTGAGTGATCTCCAGCCCTCACCTGGAGATTGGACACATTTTACCTCAGAACAGCAAAACTGGTTAGAATGTTAGAGGCAAAAGCCAATCAAGTCGCATATGCAAACGACCTCTGTGTTCCGAGGCAGAGGCCAATGAGGCTGCATATGCAAATAACCTCTATGTTCTGACTGGCTATGGGGGGGGGGAGAGGAACTGCAAAATGTTTAGAATGTTGGAGGCAGGACTCAGGGAAAGCAGCCAGTGGATAGGGAGACCCTCTGAATGACAGATCAGAGAGCGGACTGATTTTGGAGTGTGTGGAATGTTCTAGAGAAGTGCCGCCACCATTCGGCTTTTATTTATAAGGGAGATAGGTCTATTAAGTTAGCCTATGACAGCGTCATAGATGCAACGAACATGAAGTTGAGCAAACCTCAGAGGACAGCGGAAGACCGGAAGGCCTGGCGTGATCTAATCCATGGGGTCGCGAAGAGTCGGACTCGACTGTGCGACTGAACAACAAAAATGACATGCGACTGAACAACAAAAATGACATGCTATGACCATTGAAACACCTGTCTTGAACTGAAACAAAGATCTCTTCCACTTACATGAGACTCTTAAACAGTGACACCTTTCTAAGCGCTTTGATTTCAGTTGACTCTGCTTCAGTGTCGCTCTGCTTCAGAATGTACTGCATGACTGCAATCCTAAGCACCCTTATTAAGGAATAAGCATTACTGAATTCAGTGGGTCCTATTTCTCAGTAAACAAGTGTAAAATCATGCTGTCAGCTGGCATCTGCACTGAACCCTGTATTGATATTGGAGTTGGAAAACAAATCAAATTTATGGTAATGGCTAGCACCTCAATTTAAGGCCATGAAAGCCCAACAAAGAAGAAAAGGGTTATTCAATAGAACTTATTACATTCACAAGGCAGCCAGTTCAGTTCAACACAGTATGAATGGTGCAAAAGTACTAATTAAACACATCTGGATTTGTTAGTCAGTGCTGGAAGGAGCAACGTGTTCTATCACAATTTCAGGCACCGACATAAATAGTAATACTAGAGCTGATGCAAAGTTCAAATTCACAAAAGAGTTTTCAGACTTACATTTGTCAAACTTGGTGCTACCACAATACTTACAATTTCCTTTAATAAGTACAAGTAAATACATGTACAAATGGAATATCTTTTTTTTTACATTGTGGATTATTTCAGTAATTGTGCCAGAAAAGCAACATATTTCACAAGATCCCTTCCACATGAGTGGATGGAAAAGAGAATATTCTGTAAATGTGAATTTGGCAGAAATTGTTTCATCATTCTATAGAAAATATACTTATGGTTTTGAAATTTCGCATTCAGACTCGGTCTGAAAATCAGACAGGTAAGAATCAAGTTCATTTGTCTGAAACTATAAAGGTTATATTCAACAATATTTGCATTAAACCGCTTCAAATCACCTGTGCAGAATTAAATCACTCAGAATTGGGCAGGCAGAGAAACTACCATAACACTGAGAGAATCTCTTTTACCATGATCTGCCATGCCATCCACAGTACTGGTAGACTCAGACAGAATTAAATCACTCAGAATTGAGCGGACAGAGAAACTACCATAACACTGAATCTCTTTTTCCATGATCTACCATGCCATCCACAGTACTGGTAGACTCAGAAGCCATCCAAAGCCTGCAGATACATTTACATTGATGTATGAGCACCAAATCAAGACTGTGACCCAAATAATCAATATGCACATTTATTTATCATATTTATATCCCGCCCTCCCCGCGAACGGGCTCAGGGCGGCTCACATAAGCCGGCACAATATGGCCAGTTGGCATAAAACATTTTAAAACAATTAAAATAATTATACAGTAATATTTAAAGTGCTCGCAATGATAATCCATCAGTAAATTAAAATGGTGTACTATAAAATGGTCTACTAAGATCCCAACTCAGTGGTATTCCGGTCTCCCATGACATTATGGCCCGATCTCCATACAGGGCCAACCCACTACCATGGATGTTGATGATGGTGGTAGTTGGTGGTAGTGGTGGACGGCTCCTAGTTGAAAGCCTGGTGGAAGAGCTCCATCTTGCAGGCCTTGCGGAACTGTACAAGGTCCTGCAGGGCCCTGGTCTCTTCCAGGAGTTCATTCCACCAGTGAGGAGCCGCCATTGAAAAGGCCCTAGCCCTGGTAGCAGCGAGCCTGGCATCCTTAGGGCCTGGAATAATTAATCAGTGTTGTGACCCTGACCATAGTGCTCTCCGGGGTATATATGGGGAAAGCCGGTCTCCATGGAGAGTCACAGACACAGCCAAAGCTTTGTCGCCAACATATACTTTTCACATTTTCAGATTGTGTTTGCAAATTAAAAAGTTACTAAATTATGACTACAGAATTTCAGCAGAAGATTCACACATTTGTCTTTAAATGAATTTATTTCCCCTTCTATTTGTAATCTTTGCTGAGCACCATCAAAACCACAGAGATGCTTCTGATGTGATTTAAAATCTCACTTGAAACAAAATTTATACAAATCCTTTTGTATGCCCTTTAAAATAATGGAGGATGCTATCTTTAAAAGGTTTAAAGATTTTTGTATGATGAAGCCACATCATCATAGCTTCATAAATAATTTAATGTGAATAGTACTGTTTCCCTCCCTGAAGCAATCCAGATGCTGTTGGTCTTTATACAATGGGGATGGCCAACATGAGAGCCACGCCATTCTTTATGTAGGTCATAGTCTGCAGACTAGGCAAGTACTGTTGCTTCATGATAAAGTTGGCATGCATGCAAAATTAAAATCAGAAACGTAACATTAAAGTGCTGATTCCTCATTTTTTACAGCATGAGAATAAATTTGGTAGGACAAGCAGGAAACATAAAATTACTTCAGGGTGCCACATATAGACTGCTAGCTACCAGCCCTGTCAAGAGAAATA